GTAAGACTCAGTCCTCACTGTTGAGAAGCTAACTTGCTAGCACAAGGTCAACCATAACACCAGGCAAAATATAAAGAGCACCAGAGAGACTGATACACCAAAGTGTGGTGTGAGGACCCAGTCTGTGAACTGTTACTACTCACAATGACATAAGGAGTTAGTGCCAGAATGTAAATCAATTCATCACCAAGGACAGTGTTTAGTTCAGCTGATTTTTTTTAGTAACAAGACTTTCTTAATGAAGAAAGCAGTGAGTTGATTTACATTTGGGCACAAATTCATTAACCTGTTGTGAAACAGCACTTTGAGTAGTACTGTTACAAAAGAGCTACAGCTCAAGGAGCATTAAAAAGAATCAGGTCTTCATGAAGTCCCCCAGGAGACTTCTCTTTCATATGATTGGCTAGAATTTGCAATGGTGGTTCTGCAGGAGAGCTGCAAAGGAGGTTGAGAGATTAGGCAAAGAAGAAAGGAAGAGGGAAGCAACTTTTTAGGGAACCTAAAAAGATTTAGGTTCGTTATGTCTGATGAACATAAAGCTCTAGCAACTTCAATATATGTCCACTGTGAGTTGGGTGTAGGAGTGTGGAGCTCAGAACAGAGACTTGGGACTTGTGCTCACATAGCTGTTATGACAGTGTATCTCGACCAAAAGGTAAGAGTTGAACAGAAAGGAATGGACAGAGAGAAGAGAGGTAGGTGCGCTGGTAGCACAATAAGAAGTCTGATTCTGGTTAGCCATGAGGTGTATTAGGGACAAAGTGGAGGTGAGCTTGGAGGACAAACTGAAACGAGCTAGAGAGAGGCGTGGAACAGCAGTCTGAGAAGTCGGAACTTCTTTTGGTCTAAAATAGGAAGCCATTAAAGTTCTTTGAACAAGTCAGGATATGTTGTAAGACAATTGATCATGTGTGAGAAATGAAAGCGGGTCTGTAAAGACAGAAGGAGAAAGGAAAAGAGATAATGGCAGTCCTGGACCAGGAAAGAGTACTTGGAAAATGACTGGAAGTGAGGTTAAGTGAGAGGTAGGAGTCAAGAGTGACTGTGCCAAGTTTGAAGGCCAGGTCACAAGACAGTGTTTATGTCAATCATAGAAGTGGGAAGGGCAAGTGGAGGAGGTGCTTTAGGAGGGGCTTTTCTGTTGAAGTCTTGGTGTGTGAATCAGGAATATATGTCCACTGTAAGTTGGGTGTAGGAGTGTGGAGCTCAGAACAGAGACTTGGGACTCATGCTCAGATAGCTGAGACTTGATACCAGAACACACTGGCGAGAGATGGTATCATCCAGGGGAGAAGGACAGAAAGGAGATAATCTAAGACTTGGTGAATTGCCTTTATTTTAATGGTGAGTGGAAGAGAAGAAGGATGGAGCCAGAGAAAACAAAGACTGAGACTATCTCTGAGGAAGCACCTGAAGAAGGCAATAGTACAGATACCCTTGGAAGAGGGCTCTTCAAGGAAAGCACACATGGCCCATGGAACTAAATGCCACAAAGAGTCTGATGAACATAAAGCTCTAGCAACTGGGAGCTGTGCTTCCCAAGGATAGTTTTAAGGACATTGTAGGGACACAAATCAGATTTCAGGACTAAGGAGAAAGGGGTTGGTTTAGTGAAGAAATGAGGCAGTGAACCTGGATAGCAGTTGGAGGAAGTCTGGTGGTAAAAGTAAAAAGAGGGAAGGACAGGCCACGGGCCTGTTAGGATGCGGGGAGGGATAAGCAAAATGGATAGTGATAGTGGAGTGTAAAAGATGGGAAAGCAAGAGAGGTGCTAACTGATAGTGGTAGGGCCTGGATGGCAGGAACACAGCACAAGGAAGAGGATCTGGGGTCTGTGAGATGGGAGCAAAGGAAGGAAGGACAGCTGAAGATAAGGAGAGATTCTAAGGTGAAGAGAAGGGCAGTAGAAGAGCTCAGAGCGCTGTCCTGATGTTCTCAGTAAAGTCAGACATCAGCTGAGGTTGAGGAAGTCACACTGGGGTTGAACTCATTTTCCAAACTGGTTCACTGACTTGCCCAAGGTCAAACAGTTGGAAAATGTTAGCTAGGATCAGAAACTAAGTCTTCCACCCAAGCTCAGTGATCTTTCTACCACATTAGAAACTGTAAACTTCGTAATTCTAATATGAGATATTAGATCTTTTCCTAAAGTGCCCTTAAATGAGCTATTCTGACATTTTAGGCAAGTAGCCTAAAGTACTTTACTTTAAAGGCAGCCCAATGACAATTTGAGACCGCTGGGGGAGTATTAAGAATTTAATTTATCAAGTCTCAAAAATCCTAAGAGATCTCAAAAAATGAAATAAAAAATAATTTAAGAATTATGTTTAAAATTGTAAATTAAGACTTTCTCTTTTCCAGGAGAAAAGATGCAAAGAACTTTCTAATGACCTGCTTCTTTCTTGAAATCTTTGACTAAAACTTTTAAGGAAGTTCCCCATAATCAATGTGGAAGAAAATAAGAAAGGCGAGTTTCACTCTATTTAGGCCTTCCCTTTGCCATGGTCCACTCCTTCCTGTAGCTGTGTCCTCCTCCTGGTGACATATGTGATGGGTTCTGGAAACCTTATCTGAGAGAAGGCAGAT